AAAATAAAATATAAATACAGAAATAAATAAATAAATAACAAAAAATATATAAATAACCAAAAATATATATATATATAAAAATAACACACAAAAAAAATATATATATATAAATAAATGAATATATATATATAAAAACTGATGCCTAACTAACATATATAAACATATATATTTATTTATAAATAAATAAAATAAAAAATAAATAACAAAAATGAAAAAAATATTTATGAATAAACAGATAATAAAAATAAAATATAAATACAGAAATAAATAAATAAATAACAAAAAATATATAAATAAATAAATAACAAAATATATTTAAATAAATAAATAACAAAAAAAATATATATAAATAAATAACAAAAAATAAAATAAAACAAATAAATAAATATATAAATAATAACTGATCCACTCGCCATTTCGAATTATCGGCACTCGGCTGTAATGATAAATCCACAAACTATTATATTATACTGGGCTGTCCATGCCAAGTGTAGGTCCTGCCTTTATAGCCAATAGATTTATAGCTTAATGGAGCTTAGACTTTGATGATAAGATGTTATTTTTCCTCTTGAGTGCTACTTATTGCTTATGAGTCTATACTCAAAATCTTAAGGTCTTATTGGGTCATTCTCGATAAGTTAACCTCTATCCTACGTACTACATATTTCACCAGTAGAATATCCTTTCAACTGTCACTCTCGCCTATCCTACACATATTACATAGTCTGTAGAGAGAATAGGGCTAAAGTAGAGGGGCCAAAGAAGCGCTGCAGCGAATGCCAACTCTGTAGCAGGATTCATCAATCTGCTGTTTGCGCTGCGTTGCCTTGTTTGGCAGCTGCAAGGCGTTGGCCCAGTTGGGCCTCCTGCATTAGCTGTTTATCGAGTTTATCCCCTGCCGAGCTGCCCCATTCAATAAAATGCGAAATTTGTTTTCTCTCATTGCAGCAACAATCGCTGAGCGATACGAGTGCGGACAGCGGCAAAGGTGCAAAGTTTTTATTGCGGAAACGCAAATCGAAGAAGACAACGGAAAGTCCGAGCGTGGCGCTGGCAGCGGCAGCGGCTGCGAATGGCGAGCACAAAGGTAAGATGGTGGCAATGCTGAATGGTGAATGGTGGGTGTGGGGAGGGTAGGGGAAAGAGAGGCGATGGCCAATGCATTAAATCGAAACAATGGCTGACCAACAACAACAATAACAATGCAACAATGCAGCAAGTGCAAAGTGATGCAAACTTTTCAAATTGCCATCATTTTGTTGCTCGACTTTTTTTTTTATCTGTTTGCTGTTGGTCTGCCTCCCTCTCGCTCCTTCTCTCTCTCCTTCTGTTGGCTGTTGCACTTTGTTTTTAATTAATTGCAATTTGCAAACAAATAATCTCATGCTCATTCTCTCTCTCTCTCTCTCTCTCTCTCTCTCTCTCTCTCTCTCTCTCTCTCTCTCTCCGTGTCTCCTCCTCTGCATCTCCATGTCTAGCTAAACGTGGCACACAGCCGTCAGTCAAATGCGTGCTGGTCGGCGATGGGGCTGTTGGCAAAACCAATTTGATCTTGTCATATCTGGAGAATCGTTTCAATCCGGAGCATGTGCCGACGGCATCAGATATTTATAACGGTAAGTTGAGACCCGTGAAAATTGTGAAAATATTGATTGCCTGGCTGGGGCTGAATGCCTTTGCCTTGCCTTTGCCTTACCTTACCTTGTCTTACCTCGCCTACCTGGCAGCACAGCCGCCTGTGGACTGCGCTTTTCAACAGGTTTACTTAACGGCATTTTTTCAATGTACACACACACACACACACACATGCACACTGCCACACACACACTCGAGCTACGCACCAACAACAAATACCTTCAACCCAAACACGACCTTCGGCTGGGGTTTTTCTTCTCTCTTTTATTTTTTTAATATTTTTTTTCTGCTGCCTTCTCGCTGACTGCGCTGCTGCCGCGTATATGAATTTTTCATTTTGTTGAAAACCAATTTGGGAAATCTTTACTGAGTTTCCGTGTGAAGGATGCGGCGTGCTCGGCATTCGACTGTGGGCCTCAGACTCAGCTGACGGAAGTAGGCGAAAATGATGTTCAACTGCCTGCAGGCAGAGCCCAAGCCACAGCCAGAGCCAGGGCCAGAGCCACTCCCCTACGCCCACACACACCCCATTCCAGGCCCAGGCGCAGCCCACCTCTAGCCGTGCACAAGCCAGGCGCAGGAAGGCAGCTTCATTTGACTTTCACTGCTTCCGCATTTGCGCGCTCACATGCCATATGAGTATATGTGTGTGTGTGTGTGTGCGGGTGTGTGTCATGTGATGGGGCGCGTGTGTGTATTGAGCTGTGCATGTGTGCTATTCACGAATTTTAATGAACGGAAAATTGAAATTTGCGGTTATTCAGAACAGCAGCAGCAGCAGCAACAACCGCAGGAGTAGCAACAACAACAACAACAACAACAACAACTTGATGATGAGCCAAGCGAATCGCATTTGGGATCATATCAAAATGGCAAGCGCCTTTGCCTTTTGTGGCCGCCATCTTTTCTAGCATTCGAGGCCTCAACTAGCAGGCACTTGCACTTGCAAGTGATTGAATTATGTTGTGCATCACACTAACACTAGCACACACACACACACACACATACACAGGCACACTCATGTTGCGGCAGAGCCAATGCGCCACAGCAAGCAGCCACTTGACGTCGGACTCTAATAAATTTTGCATGAGCGTGCATTTATTTTGTGCCGCAATGCTCCGATTCCAAAGAGACTGGCTCTGCCTTCAGACGTGGATCAAGAGCGAGACTAGAGGCTTTAAGGCGAGACTCAGCTGAGCTTTAAGTGATTCTTGTATTTGGTAACAAGTAAGAAAGCTCCTGTCGGGTCTGCTCGACTACGAAAGCCTCTGAAAACTACAAGCAACTGTTATTTTAGTAATTCTTAACGTCTTTCTGTTTGCACAAGAAATGCAAAAATCGTAATTCTATAAAAATCATATGAATTAGCATCTAAAATTTGGCGACTCTAGTTCTAAAGATGTTGACAATATAATAACAACTTCTTTTCATTTATGCTTTAATCGATAAGAATATAATGGAAAGTAATTATCGATTTTTTGAGAAAAACTCAATATGCGGGTGATATGCATGGACCTAGGAAACGAAATTTCAAGTCTCTAGCTCTTAAAGCTTCTGAGATCGATGCGTTCAGATGGACGGACAGGGCTAAATCGACTCAGCTTGTCGCCCTGCTTAAGAATATATGCATATGGGGTCTCCTTCCACATATTACATATGTATATTAAATTAACCCATTTTACCCTGATTTCACATCTTTAGATCAGATATAATTGTTGAGCAATCAAAGCGTGATCGATTATACACATTATTTATCGGCTTATCGAATAAGTTCATAGTGAATGACAAAAGCAGGGCAGTTTGAAGTAGGGCTTAACGAATGGACGGACGGAATGATAGATTGCCAAACGGATTACATAAGGCCAGTAAACTCATTTCACGTTGTAAACGAGCATAAAAATGTATTTTTATATGCGCACCTGACGATAAGTGGATGGAAAAGCAGTTTGCTGATCAAATCATATTTTAATTTTGGGAATTAGATTCCCAGAAGGGAAAATTCTAATTTGAATACATAAGGAGCACTCTGAGCAGAATGGGTTTTTGATGGTTTGATTAATCCGCACTGCTCTTGCCGCATACTTCAAGGCGGCATGGCACTTGATGATGCGCCGCTTTTGTTTCCATGTTGATTCTCCACTTATTACGCATTCGCCGTGTGCGCCATTCGCCATTTGTCATTCGCCGAATCCGCGCACTCATGCTACGCAAACACTCTCACAAATTCACGACGGGCTTCTAATTCGAGCAGCAAGAGTGCACAAAAGTTTGCATAATCTATGTGAGTGTGTGTGTGTGTGTGTGCCATACATGCATACATGTGCATGTGTATCGCTGTGATTTGCATACTTGCAAAGGGCTTTCGCATCCAGTTGCATTCCATATATCCAACTTTTGTGCATAGTTCAACTAATTATCAAATGCCAGCCTAACAGAAGAAGAAGAGAGATACGGATACAGATATGGATTTGGCTTTGGATGCGAGTGTGTATGTGGAGCGTAGCGAGCAGCCAACTTGTCACCGAGCCGCAGCTGAGGCAGCCAGCATCATCCATCAAAACTCATTAGTTTAATTAACTGCAGCTACTAGAATTAAGTATAATGCGCAAGAGTACTCCGAGTGTCGACAGTGAATGACGAAAAGATATCCTGTTCCACGTAGAGTGGCGATGGATAGCAGCTGAAAATTATGCATTTAGATATGTATGGTTTACTTAAGAACTATCGAATGTACGTGAAGTTAATTGAGTCATCTATTTATCTGCTTTTTCTTTGAGAGAATGAAGTGCTACTCCTAGAGCAATCATTGATGCAGTTTGATAGATTTTGCGATTCATATGTAATGCAAATAACTTTTCAAGAACTAGATTTCCTATATCCTGAACACATTGAAAATGGGTTTTATCTATACTTTTTTAATCTTTATTGGAAATTTGAGAAACAGTACTATAAACTCAGTGGTTTTAGTAAATATAGGTAACAGGCAGGTGGAGGCGTGGCACATCCTATCAGAGGGTTCGATATAGCTCTGTCCGTCTATCTGTTTTTCCGTTCCATATGGTTGAACGCGTCGATCTCAGCATTTATAAGAACTAGAAGCTTGATATTTTTTTAGAAGCATGGGTATAGCACTTATAAATCGTGATATTTTAAAGAAAAATGGATAACGGTTGAAGTTTAAATGTTATCGATGATAAGCCTCATAAAAATCGAATATATCGTTCATCTTCAGTGCTAGAATCTCGAAATTATTCGATTCTTGTACGTATTCAGCGGGATAAGCCGGAATACTTCAAGCAGTAGGTGAATGCAATATACCAGGTATTTGCTAGTCGTGCAGAATCACTCCTACTGGAACATAGAATATCAAACGAATATGGCTTTGGGAGCTAATAAAATAGTTTTCCGAATGGGACGAATGATAAAGAGACCAACTCATATACTAAATATACTATGTATATATGTATGTATATACGTATATGTCTATACCATTTCGACATGTTCATCTCAAAATGCTGCAAACATTTTCACTCATTTCTCTGCCAATTGCCAGATGAGTCTCCATTGGAGCGTCTGCTCCACACGTTGTCGTCGTTGTCGTCGTCGTCCATTTGGCGTCAGTGTGCAAAACCGAAAGCTAATTGAGAGCTGTACCAATTTCTCAGCATTTTATTGCGCCATTGATAAACTGCGCGAATGAGTGAATGACAACGACTGACTCAATTAGGTTTCAATAAGCCAGCCAAGCGCTTGGCTAGCTTTCAATAGGCAGCGTCGACAAGAAACGATTTCACACACAATGACATGGCTACACACACACACACACACCCACGCACACACATACGTCTTTGACTGCAACCGCCAACAACGCTTTGTCTTCCTTTGTTATGCGCCATTTGGCCGCTGGGTGGCGCTTTTGTTCGACGCGCCGTTAAATGCGTGAAGTCAAGTTTTATTTGGTCGTATTTCGTTTTTATGTGCAAGCCGAAATCGATAATCGATTAATAAGCCAGCGCAGCCGAGGCATAAAAAAGCTCTGAATTATGCGCCCCAGAATATGCCAGCATGCCGAGATGTGTGTGTGTGTATATATATAATTTACAGGGTATATCTAAGTATGGCAACAGCGAGTGCTTAGCTGAAGACATGGCCAGAGGTGATGCGAAACAAATATAAAAATTCATTCGATTTTCGATCGAGTGCCAATCGGGCTGCACATGTGCTTGCAGCTACCACACCCACCGCCCACCTGGCAAAGGTCGAGTGCGAGAACAATTGCTGGCTGCCTGCTGGAGGAGATAGCAATGCAGAGCGCCTTCAAGTCAAGCTCCAAGTCCGTTCGAGCAGTCAAAGGCGTTCGCAAAGAAAACCGTTTGGCCATGATTCTTTTATGCGGCATTGTTCAGCAAATAAATACCCTGTAGTCGGGCAGCGAAGAGACGTGTTGCTAGACTGCAGCGTAAGCTTGCTGCGAATGGTGAAGGAGAGGAGCTTGACGATGTTTGGCATGCCAGCGATCGATGGATTATGGCCATAGCATTACAGGGTATACGGCGATTACAACAGACACGCCTGGTGGCAAGCAGCTGTAGTGTGGCATAAGAGTGCGCTTTTTCTTTAGCTTAACAAACAGTGCCTCATCCCGATGCTGATGCTGAAGCTGAAGCTGAAGCGTCAGCTCGGCTGGGACTGTGTGCGGGGATTGGAGCTGGGACTTGGGGCCTCAACTGGAGCTGGGCTGTCGTTCGTTGTGGCTGGCATCTTTGCAAATGCATTCATGAAATTTATGCGCCCGAAGAACACAATTTATTTTACATGAGCCATGTGGGCGACCTTCGGCGACCTGCTGATTAAAAACTGCTAGCAGCAACTTTATTTACGCAGCGTAAACATCAGCAGTGGCAACAGCAGCGGCAGCGGCAGTGGCAGCGGCAGCAGCTGCATTGAAAGGCAGTCATGATTAACTTTTAGATAGGGTCCACACACACACACGCACACACACACACACACAATGGCTGGGTGGCTTGGGATCCTGGCTTAGGTAAAGACGTGAGGTCAGATGTGCTCGACGGCGCATGAGAAATAAGCTAAAACTCACTCGAATCTCTCTCTCTCTCTCTTTCTCTCTCGCTCTGGTCTCTGGTTGAAGGCAGCAATTGAAATCATATTGCACGCGCTTAAAATATGAATGAACTGCATTCATGTTGAGCACACACACACAGAGAGAGAGAGAGAGAGAGCGATGGCGACACAGAGCAGCAGTTGGATGTGGGCATGGTTACCCTGCGCTGCTAATTCCACTTGCCACTGGCTCATCATAATTGTTGCAACTGCAAGCAGTGTGCAAACACACACACACACACACACACAGACAGACACACACACACACAGCCGCACGTGCAGTGAAAGCAATTAAATAGATGCTGGCGACCTGCTAAATATGTTGCATACTTTTAGGTGGCAGCTCTGCACTCGCCGGACATATTGGGCCGCATGGCCTTAGGCCATGCTGATTTTCAACTCACATGGCAAACACATTCAAGTTGCATGCATTTCGATTGCCAACAACATTGCTGGTGTCAAACAAATAACTTGCAACATGCTACACAATTGTGGATTGTAGTTGCAGCAACCGCAGCTACACAGCTGCATTGCTGAGTCATACAAGAAGCACACACACACACACACACACACACGCCCACAAAAGAGTAGAGGAATGACCAAAAACATGCTCACAAAATGCACAGATACACACACAGACACACTCATGCTGTGGTCGGAGAATGTTTTACATCAATTCAATTGTAATTTGCATTTTTTAAGTGCTTTTGATTGATTTGATGTGGCGTTTGCTTTGCTGCCACCAAATTGAAAATGGGCTTAAAGCGGGTGGAAGGGGCTCATATAGATATACATACACATATACATACATATATATATGTATATATTTTGAATTCCTCTATATCCTGCATCCATTAAAAATGTGAAATCGTGGTATTATGATTTTATGGGATTGCATATAACAGGCAGAGCCAGGTTTGGCGTCAACTGCGCAGTTAGCAAAGCGTCCGCTTACGCGTGCGTGTATGTGTGTGTGTGTGTGTGTGTGTGTGTACATACGAAAATGGGAATATTAGATCCTCGAAGGCAGTCTTGTGTAGAGCTGTCTGATTTGTTTTGTTTTTATATAAAATATATATGTATTTGTAAATAATTTTCGCTTTCTTTTGAAATTTGTCTCTATTTTTTTGTGTTATATTTCCTTGATTTTCTCATTTTTTTAAATTATTATATGAGTTTTCTATTTGTACGATGCACGATTTCATTATTTACAAAGAATTTTTATTTTGATATCATTTTATTTCTTATATTTTAAATATAAATTAAATTATCCTTGTAATATTAAGTTTATAATTTTTCTGTTTTTTTTTAAACTTTAGATTTTTTGTAGCTTTTGTTTTTTATATTTTATATATTTTTAAAATATTTTATTTTATTATTTAATATTTTATTTTATTATTTAATTTTTTTTATTATTTAATATTTTATTTTATTATTTAATATTTTATTTTATTATTTAATATTTTATTATTTAATATTTTATTATTATTTATTTAATATTTAATTTATTTGCATGATTTTTTGATTGGTATAATTTTTTATTTTATTATATATTTTATTATGATTATTAGATTTTTTATTTTAATTTTATTATGATTAGATTTTTTTATATTTTTTAAATATGTATATTTTATTTTTATTGTAATTTAATTGTATTTAATTTAATTGTACAATTTTTCGAGCCTTTTAGATATCTAACATGCTTACCCCCAAACCCTGCTCTTATACAATGTTTCCATGTTCAGAGAGGCATGGCAATGCTTACCCACCCTTTGTAAGGGTCATCAACTGAATAGACCTTTAAGCCTTCTTGACTCCCATTCAATATTAACAAAAATGCCAGACCGGAGTGTAGAACAAGGAAAGCATGAATTTGTCAAAGGCTCATGTGGGAATATTCTTATCATATTTTGCGTACATTTTCATATATCTTTTACCTGAATCGTCTTGAATTTCTGCAAGAGAATTTAATGTTCTGCATTTCGCAGATGGTTCTTCTGCTCGGCTGTTAAGTAATTTGAGAAATACTTTTGAGAATGTCATGCATTGCATACCGTTTGAGATTACATGCGTGTGCGTGTGTGTGCGTGCAAGGGCTAAAAGCATTTTGGGGTCTTCAATAGTTTATCAGCATTCTTCGTTGCGATGTCTGGGATGCGGTCCGAATATGTTAGCCGGAGGTTCTGCCATCAGGTCTGTCCGAAGTTAAGTGCAGCACAATGGCTTAGGTGAATGCCTGGCATAGTTGGCTCTCAATGGGCCAATGTCTGGGTGTCTGGGTCAAAGGGCGGATTAGTCAATAGATATATATAAAGATATGTTCGTAAATAGGTATGTGTGTGTGTGTGTATTTGAATTTTTGCGATGCCGAAAATTTGCGGCAAGTCATGGATTGAGAAGCATTTGAAATTAAATTCCAACTGAGAATCAATCAAAAGTAAATGCACCTGAAAAATCTGCCCTCAGCGGACAGACGGCATTTAAATGCTATGCAATCGGCGCCCTCATGTATGAAGCGTAATTAAAATGCCGTTACTGGCTTTGACTTTGACTTTGAGTGACAAACACGCAAACATGTGCACATACATGGATATGTATGATGAGAGTGCGAAAGTCTTAACAAACACTAGTTGCTGCTTCTTGAAATGGAAATGCTTAAGCTAGTATTGAGACTTGAAATGAAATGAGTCGATTTAAGCATTTGCTCGTAAGGGATTTTTTTTGTTTATATTAAATAGTAAAGTCAAAGCAAAGGGGAGTCTTATCGTAGGCAAAGTCAATTGATTCTCTATTTATGATAATTTTTAAAAATTAAAGTCAGCATCCTAAACAAACTGTTAAATTGCATCAGAGAAATTCCTATATACTCTTGATCTCTAATATATTTATAAACAAAAAATATCGAATATTTTTATTGATTATCGATTCTGAATTATCAATTACAATACGGGGCTGTCCATATTCAACGGACACATCTGGCAACCCTACAAGATTGCCCATGTTCGATGGATCCATGTTTTCCTTTTTAAATCAAAGAAAAACAAAATATTCTCTCTCTCTCTCTCTCTCTCTCTCTCTCTCTCTCTCTCTCTCTCTCTTTATCTCAGCATACACTCAATCGATTACTTCGGTTCCTTAACGAGCTCACCCGCGGAATGTTTAGAATTTTTCTAGTGCTTTTTTCCTAAACACTTAAATGAAGCAGAAAGTCTTATGTTGTGTTAGTATTGATAACGTATGCATCACTTATTACATATGAAGTCGCATTATGCGAACGTCACTCACATCGCTGCCTAAACGATGTTCGTTAAGAGAGCGTCACACGAATAGTTCCGCCTAAGGCGCTCAACGGAATAGAGAAACGAATCGAACTCAAAGTCGCCTGAGAGTCGCCTGATTTTGTATAACGAATAAAACGGTTAAAGATTATTTGCGAGCTACGATCTTAAGTAATCGAATCATAGTTCTTATGTCTTTGAGATCAGCAGGACTTTAGATGGGACATCTTTGAGACTCTTAAACGTCATTCTAGAGTTATTTCTTTATGATAGTTATATTTTTTCTCTTAACGATAGTTTGAATATATGTTCGTCTCTTTTTTGTTGCAATTTCAGTTGAAGTCAATGTGAACGAGAGTCCAGTGCACTTGACACTCTGTGATACCGCCGGCCAGGACACGCTGGATCCGTTGCGCGAGCTGAGCTATCCCGACAGCGATGTCTTTTTGCTCTGCTTCTCGGTGGTCAAGCCCGAAACGTTTGGGGCCATCAAATCGAAATGGGCTCCCAAATTTGCCAAAACAAAGGCGGCGCTCATTTTGGTTGGCACCCAGGCCGATCTGAGGAGCGATTTGAATGTGTTGAATAAATCGCAGGTGAGTTTTCTCCCCATCCCCCCTACACCTTTCGCCTCTCGCCTTTTCCCTTAGTTGTTGTGCTCTCTGTTTTTTATTTATTCTTATATTTTTCTGCTGCTGCGTGTTGATTTTGCTTATTTATGCGCCTCAGCTCATGCTTGACTTCATTCTCATTTGTCAGCGTGAGGCGCGTGTGTGTGAATTGTTGAAATATTTATGATATTCTTATTTGATTTCATATGTGCTTCGGGCGTGCCGCTTTCCCATGGATGAGCAGACAAATGGCGAGAAACCAATTTCATATGCAGACGCCTGGGATTTGGCAACAACAATTGGTGCCAAATACATCGAGACATCCTCAGCCACACAGGTGAGTTCACATGAAATGTTTGGATTGTTGTTGTTGTTGCTGTCGCTGTTGCTGTTGACGTTGTTATTGCTGTGGCCATTGCTGCTGCCGTTGGGCCAAGCATTTCAACCGCCATCATATTAATTAAAGCAACAGCAGCAGTAGCAGCAGTAGCAGCAGCAGGCGAAGTCTGCGAAGTCATTGCACCAGCAATGGCTAAAAAACACTAACACACTAGCAACAGTCGCAACAGCAGCAACAACAACAACAACAACAACAACAACAACAACAACTTACATTCAACAAATCCTTTGGGCTGTCGCTGTCTGTATGCAAACACTTAAAAACGGAAAACTCTGCTGAATGCTGACATTTGCCTTTGAGGTAATGTGCCACACTTTGCTTCCCATAGCCACAAGCAGAGGCAGAGACAGGCACACAGAGACACTCACACACACACACACATACAATAATCATAATTGTGCGGTATTCGTGCTGGTTACTGCAAAAGTAACAACTGCCTGGCTCTGCTGGCTCTGCTGACTCTGGTGGCTCTGTTGCTTGCGTTGCCACTGCCGACACACCACTTCCTTCGAGTGGATGGCAGCCGGGGTTTTTTTTTTTTTTTTGTATTGGCCGTGCATTGCACTCGCACCTTTATGTGCTACCCAAGAAGCCGCCAATGCTGGCTGCGAGCACGCAAGGGAAATTTACTCGCATTGCTGCACAGGAGAAAAAAAATGGGGAAAAAAAGATACAACAATTGCGCTGTCGCCGAATGCGGAATTCTTTTAACATTTTTAAATAAGCGCAAGAAAAAAATATGATTTTAATTGGACATACATTTGTATATACATATATACATATTATATATGTAATTATTTTTATTTTCTACATTACGTATACGTAATTAGAACACGCATTCGTCATGTTGGGCTAGAAAATTGCATTTGGTATGTGCATTAAATCTTTAGGCTGCAGTGCAACTGAATCTTTAGGCCATGACAGACTCATTCAGACTCGTGTCAACACTGATTATCGTGCGGATATCTCTTTACTAATACATATGTATATAGGAAATATTATCAAATCCAATAAAATACAGAACTATGCAAGCATTTTAAAGTTGCAATTGAGTTTCTATAGAGTTTTATATCAATTCGAGTGCACAGCACCATAGCTAACTATCGATAATTAACCATAATGTTATCGATATTTCACTAAAATGCCAGCTATGCTCAAAGCGAATGTCAGCGAGAGAAGAGAAAGAGTAGAGGAAGAAAATTAATTGAAAAACTGAAAAATCAAAGACTATTTTGCAATAAGATAGGACTTTCTACAATACATACATTTATTATTTGTGTTCAACAATCTTATCTAAATCTACAAATCTGTTCTTTTCTTTGCTGCTGCAGGATAAAGTCAAAGACGTGTTTGATACAGCCATCTGGGAGGGCTTGGTGCCCACAACATTGCCGCCCACGCCGCCTTTCTGGAAGAAGCTCTTTTGCCTAGCCTAATGGGAGAGAGTGAGAGAGAGAGGGAGGGAGAAAGAGCTACGCAAACTTATATTTCCTTTGCAACTCGAAAAAGAAAAACTCAAAATATAAAAATGATAGCAAAAAAAAACTAGCTATAATGATAATTTTCTTAAATTTATATATATATGCATATGTAGTTCTACATCTTAAGAATTATTGCTCGACTAATTATACACGATCTACATATATAGTATATACATATTTATTTATACTCTTGTTTGGCAGTGCTATTAGACTATGGCACGCGCACTCATTGACTGAACTATTGATAGCGATAACGATTACGATACCGATAACGATTATAATAATGAAACAAAATACATTAAAATAAATATTATTATTCCAAAATTTCGTACACTTAAGACACAATTGTATCTGATAGCAAACAAAAACATTTTTTTTTTTTATTATTAATATTATTTTTTTATAATTATTAATTATTTAGGCTATCAAGTTCTCGCGATTATTGCTCGCGTTTTGATGATAGTTCTTAAATGTTGTAGCTTAAGTACATTTTTGGAAGTTTTTATGCTCGGCTGAATCATGTTCATGAAAGGCTTAGCAAACGAAGAAAAAACCCAACGTCATTCCATCCATATAAGCATTAAGTTTTAAAACCCTATAGCGTATGTCGAAAGCAAAAGCAACAAAATATATACACTTAAAAACAAAGAGAGAGACAAACTTGTTTTATTTCGTTTTAAATTGCAGTAATTATTCTGCGAGATCATATCATATGCTTAAACTTATCTTAATCAAAAGTTAAGCCAGTGTCTCGAGTTCCATTTGGCTGATGGAAATGTCTGCCGCATGCAAGGCTCCGACTATAAATACAAAGCGCAGCATAAAAGTGGGCAACAAGGAATTGAAGACAAGCGAAATATGGATTATGAGTGTGAATGAAAATATTAAAAATTTTGGTAGTTTGACTTTGACCTTTAACCCAGCCAGACACAGTCACGTAGCATTTTTTTTTTGAGTTCTATTTAATTTTGTTAAACAGTGTAATGGAAGAGCAAAATCAACAAAAACAACATTAGCGTAGACTTTTGGAATAAAAAATACAAAAAAAAAAAGAACAAACAAACAAACAAGAGCGTGGTGCTTAACAGAAACCTAAACACACGCACTCGCAGCCAGACACCCACACATCTATGTATTTATACACCCACTCACACACACACACACACGCAAGCCAGCCGCTGCAATGAAACTTGAGCGAAAAGTTAAGCGGAGCTTGTCAAGTTTTTTAGCTTTCACCGAAAACGTAAAATTAATTTTGTCGTGGCAGCAACGTCAGTCTGCATGCAGCATGTAGCAAGCAGCATGCAGCATGCAGCATGCGGCATGTAGCAAGCATCTTCATTTTTGGCATCAAGTGTTCTGTTGACATTGATGCCTTGATTGCAACAAACGTTGGCAGTCATTGCGGACGTTGCATCAACAACCGAGCAGCTCTCTCTCTCTCACTCCCCCAGTCCCCCACTCTTGTTGTTTGGCTACATGTAAAGGGCTACGAAATTGAAATATTAATGCCGGGCTGACAGTTAACAACTTCGGTGACAGCACAACAAGCTGCCGTCCAAGTGCAGTGTAAACATTTTGCACATTGTCTCGACACGGGCTGAACGTGCCAGAGGTGTGGCATGGATGGCATAGATGGCATAGATGGCATGGGTGGCATGGATGGGTGACACGGGTCATGAGTATGCCAAATCCTAACAGCAAACAGTTAATACAACTGCCAGCAGCAGCAACAGTCAAAGCCAACATAGAGCAGCAACAGCAACACAATAGAGCAGGGTAGAAGCAACAACAACAACAACAACTGCAGCTTGAGTCGAGTACGAAATAATTTTAAATTACTAAATCATTATTCGAATTGGAGCACGCTGTCAGGAGTATACAATAAATGTATGAATAATAGCAGCATATTTGGGGGAAAACCCTGAAAATGCTCATTGAAGCTATAATAGTTTTAGGCAAATGCAGCGGACTAAAGTGGGCGTGGCAGAGTCAGGCTTAATCAAGTTGAATAATTGACTCATTCAGGTTACTTTGAGCTCGAGATTTTATGCTTAATATTTAACAGGCTTGATTCGTCATATTGTAATGTACATACAGTGAGTAACATTAATATTCGTATTTGAAATTAAAACAAGTCGTAATGCTAAATTGTAGATTGAAAAATAACCTTTACGATGAGATATACATATATTAATATAGTGTATTTAACATAACATTAACATTATACATAGACCGGAAAAAAAAAGAATTTTAAGGGGCCTCACTGTATATACATCTATGTATGTTGTCTATGTAGAGTAGATCCTCTCTTTAGGCTAGTGCAATTTGTGAGAGAACTTATTATTATTATAATTATTAATCTAAGTACAACGTTATATTTTTCTGGTTTCTTTAGAAAGGGGCGTGACAAGCCCAGTCTAATATCGAAGAAGCAATAAGAGAGTAGCGCAGGGCTCAGAATCTTTGGGGGCAGAGCATTTCCACTGAAAAGAATTCTGTACTTTATGCATGTAGAGTTCCTATTATGATATTGTATTGAAGTATAAGTATGTAGATATGTATGGGCTTAATATGTGAGAGAACCTATATAAAGAGCTACTTTATTTCTTCGGCAAATTGTGCAGGCAAACGTGTACGAATTGACTTGTTCCAACTGTGAAATCATCAGGATACATACATACATATACACACATGGAAATGGAATTTGAGGGTGTATTATTTTAAAGTATATGCATAGTTTAAAGTAAAGGCAGCAAAGTAATATTGGGCAGTGAGAGAAGTGACAGAGCCAAGCCTGATATAGTTTAATCAATCTGCGTATTTACAAGTCGAGCCACTTAAGATTTCTTCTAGCCCCCTGATAGTGATATAGTATTACAAATATAGGATATTTTCAAATACCTTGTGGCTGACTACACGGTACTACACTTCAGTTCCTAGCACTCTCCACAGTCTGCACAGCAGTGAATTAATTTTGAGAGCGATTCGATGTCGTCTGCAAATCGTGCTGGCCAAACATACATATGTGCGAGTTGACTTGTGCCGCATGTCAAATGATTAGGCCTACGAGCATGTTCAATGCATAGCCTGGCCATAATTTGTGCCCCGGCCAATCGGACCGGGCCCGTCCAGGCCACCCACTTAACGATATTGCAGAGACATTGCAGAGGCGAGTCACAGCCGTCGTCTCTTTATTAGTTCAAAAATAAATCAGCAACCCAAATAGAGAACATGCTCGTGTCATGTTGGAAATTTATAGTGCGGCCAGCAGCAGCCCAGCCAGACGCTGACGATGCGTATGTGTGCAATAAATAAACAATTTTTTTTTTGTTTTCTTTTGGTTTTTTGAGTATTGCAAAAAATTACGTATACGCAGCGTTGGCCTAAATCGAAGATGTACCAAATACGGCAAGGAGTGAGACAGAGAGGGAGACAGAGAGGGAGTCAGAGGGAGAGAGAGAGAGAGAGAGAGAGGGGTTAGCATTCTCGCATTGCATTATAATATACGCATCTTTACTGATGCATTAGTAATGAATTGGCACTGGGCAGAGAAATGATTGCAGGGCCTGCAGAGGAGATGTTTCAGGTAATTTAAAATCTAACAAATGAATTGATTTTTCTTTATTTTTATAAATTATCTTTTCTCTATCAAACTGTTAAAATAATATATTTTGGCTTGGGTTTTGCTTTAGGAAAAAATTATAACAATTTTATAAATATATAATTAATAAATATTTATAACACTAATATTAATAGCAATAATAATAATTTTTCATTACTTTTCTACTATTTTTATTTGCACAAATTTTGTATTTATTTCAGAGATTTATATTTGTGAAACAATTTCAGTCATGGGCTTCGATTTTTTTTCTTTGAGGAAGAGCTTTGTTAAAGCATAAGTACATTTATAAATAAATCAAAATGAAAATAAAATATTAAAATTAAATATTAAAATAAATAGAAATTAAATAAAATATACAAATAAAATAAATAAAACAAACTTAATATTTGTATTTTATTTGTATATAAAAAACTTTTATTTTTATATTTTATTTTTATATAAAAGACTTTATACTTCACTTTTATATTTTATTTATTTTAGTTTATGCTTTAACAATACTTTTCCTAAAAAAAATCTCGAGACGAATGATCTAAATTGTTTTACAAATATAAATCACTAACAAAGCGCTAATACAATGTTAGACTAAGTCCTGGCTGCTGTACTCGATCTTCCAGTCTTTGCTGATAAGTCTTTCATCAGTTTCAGTCAGCCAACAATATGATGGACTAGAAAAATAGGTGACAAGGACATAAAGTTTCTACCAAAAATACATAAGGATTCATAATATGAATAAAATGACATATTTTAAGCCACTCAATAACGTTTGTAAACTATTGTCACACACACTCACAGAGAGAGCATTTGTAAGAACTGTTTTGCTAGATGTACATATGTTTAATTGTATTCTCGCCCACTGTGATTGAGTGCTGGCTGTACTCGTAATAGCAGAGCGTATTCAGCGCATTTCACTGACACAGCACAAAACCAGTGGAAGCCAGACAATGAAAATACGGAAATGTAACGTTAAATGAAAGTAAATTGAAAAGAAAAAAAAGAAATGTATAAAAAACAGAGCGAAGCGGAAGGAGAGGGATGGCGAAATCAATTCGAATTTATAATGAAAAATACTACACGCCCAGCAGTGTGATCAGTGGCAGCCGTGGAATCCAGTTGAATAGAGTTTTCTTTTCCTTTCACAAAATGTTTTCAGCTTTCTTCCTTCATTTTTTTTTTTCTTATTTTCTTTTTTGGTTATGGAGCAACTCTTTGTTTGCTACGTGTCCATAAAACCAACAGTTGGAGCGAGCAAAACGACCGATTTCAGCACGCGGCTATTTATGTGGGTCATTCACGCGAAAAGGATGCGACCCCGGCTCCAGCTCCTGCTCCGGCTCTGGCTACAC